GGGCTATTTCCAGACCACCCCCCCGGCCGCCCCCCGGCGGTGCAGCGTCCTTCCCCACGGCTCCGGGGTCCGGGGGAAGGGCTGGGGGTGCGGCACCCAAACCCTGCGTTTTCCAGCTCCATCTTGTGGTAACAAAGGGTGTTTCCACGTCGGAGCAAATACTTCACGCTGTGTAAGCGAGAAGACCTGTGGGTCAGGAGGGGTAAAGCAGTGATCCTCAGAAACACCCAGTGGAAAAAACACAATGAATTAAAGCAGCAGGAAAGATGGCTTGAGCCCGGCGAGGTCTCTGCTAAAGCCTAATTCCTGCTCCTGGCTGAGCAGCTGCCCGGGTGCCTCTCTGGGGTGCCCCGGGGATGCGTCTTCTCCTCTCAGGCAGGCGATTCCACTGTCAGCTCTCCGTGGGCGCACACAAACCTGACAGGCAATGCCATGGGAAGCTGTCTCTGTCCATGGCTCTGCCTGCCGTTGGCGGTGGTGCAGGCCCACCCGAGACCGGAGCAGCGCGCTCCGCAGAGGCTGGCTGCTTCCCCAGAGGCACGCTGCTTAATCCCTGCTCCTTAACCTCTAGCTGTGACGAGGTGGATAAGGCCAGTGATGATGTAAGCAATAACAATAATAATTACTCCCTCAGAGGCATGCTGTGGAGAGACCTAACGTGATGCTCACCTTCTCCAGCGGCTCACATAACCTGTAGATAAGGCAAGAGTCGGGGTGCGGGGTAAGCAGGGTGCAATGGGTCTGTCCTGCCCCAAATTCCTCCCTGCCTTGACTTTGCCAGTGGTTGCACTGCTCCCCCCGGGGGTCCCCGACTTGTCGTCCTTATGGGCCCGAAGGGCCACCCTACAACATTTGTTGGATGCTTGGTGAACAGGCTCACCTCACATTTGTGCTGACACCTTTGAAAAATGACTTTGATTCTCTCAGTATACTGTTTCAGTGATTCATTCTTATGCGCATTTACTCAGCGGACGTGAGTGGGGAAATAAGATTGATGCTAAATTTATATGTTAATTTTAATATTGAAGCTATCCTGTATTTGAAGAATAAGATCAATTCTTCAATTTCATCTCTTACGTGATATTGCATATTGTCATTACTGGAAAATAAAATTATTTCTGAATGCACACTATCCAAACTTCAATTTTAGTGGACATATAACTCTGAAGCATCATTCTTCTCCCTTCCCTATAACAACTAACTTAATACAGTATTTTAACATCCTCGCGCTAGTCTGCCACTGGAAGATAACAAAGTCTTTTCACCCTAAATGGTGTTCTGCTGATGTGCTCCCTGCAGCATTCTGCACTGTCACAGGCAGATTTGGAGCATGACTCAGCAGCTCCCTGCAGGCTGTTGCACAGATGGTACAACAGGAATCACGGTTCCAAGGGTTGCGTCCCTCGCTAGAGACTAATTCCATTCATTTCCACAACAGCAGCAGTGCTTGAGAGCCATAGGCACGCCAAGCAATGTGCCAAGTGCGCCTGTATACAGGATGAATGGTGACCTTGAGCGAGGGATCAGACCCTCAGAGCACTCCCAGGAAGCAGGTCCCACAGAGGATGGGTAGGGAGCATCACATGCACAGAAAGATTTGGCACCTACAGCAGGAGATGTACTTTAAGGAGGTCTGCTGGCAGAGGCCAGGCTCTCCCAAAGCTGCAACAGGAAGAAAGTATTTACAGCATCTTTGGCAGTGTGGTTTGCTATTTTTTTGTCTTTGCAAACTGTGCAGGAGGCTAAGCAGAGGGTTGGATAGCAGGAACCATTGCAAGGTTACATCCTGGCTCTGCTCACCACCCTGAGGAAGACCACACAGGTCAGTTTAAATTTCAGGTGTCTCTTTTTCCCTCTCCATGAGATAAAGTTGTCTGCTACAAAGATTTAATGGTTATCATCTGAAAATTCTTCAAAAACTTAAGTGCTCTATAAATATGAGAGCAGAGCATATTATTTACTAGACCATGTAGTATAAGGTTCTGTTTCTAAGTTTTTCTCTCCCAGAGAGAGAGGCTATAGCTTTTCAATAGCTGAACAGTGCCTGCCTTCAGCAAGGGAGTTACAGAAACGACCAGAAAGGTCAGGATAACCCTGAGATAATCCTGAGGCGGCCACTGTCATGCAATGGCCA